ATTGCCGACATTTTAAGACCAGAAATTTTGAAGTGAAGTTTCTCTCTAAACATTTCTTTTACCATTTTGCCATTTCCGTTACAGTATATTAAACTAAACTAATTAATATTACTTTTAATGCATAATTTTTCTATAAAACTAAATCATGTTAAACACTAAGGGTATTTAACCGCCTCAAATTCTATATGGGAGAGTTATGTGCTGTAATAGTTGGAATGTAATTATAAATCAAAACGACAAATTACTGACAATTAGCACGCCTGCTGCGAAAGTGAGTTTCATTAACACTTTCGTTAAATTGTACAGCCATGTTTAAATGAAATATTACAACAATTATTAGAAAGTAATGGTTAACCATATTTTATTGTCAGAACGACGCTTAAGCTAAGTTTGTTGTCCATCCATTCTCACAAATGCATGTCGTATACATTAATGGTTTAAAAGTTTTGATAAAGTTATCGATAATCAATAAACAGGTTAAGTGGTGTAGTGTTTGTTTACAGATTAAGGCGTTAGTGGGTTTTTAGAATATCATCATTTTAAATTCAAAAATTTACTTCAGGCTAGATTAGCTGTTCGTTAAAAATGAAACCCAATTAGTAGCTTCAGAACATCTTTAAAAAAGAACGCCAACATGAAGTCATGAAGAAAACGTTATTGATGCTGAAGCAAATTAAATTTTTCTCCCAATAATTCTATATTTGCAAGTCAAATTGGACTATTTTTAGAATGGACGAATAATGAACAAATCCTCAATTTTCAATGGAATATTTCCCCCCCTTAAAATTGGAATTTTTGCAGCGGAGAGCTTAAATAAGTCAAATCATCTTCTCAACTGGTGTACGATATATTTTTTATTTAAGTTCTCACCAATAAAAGAATAATGACTCTTTTGCTGCACTTGAGAGTTCAAATGATGTGCTGCATGCAGAAGATATTCCAAAGCTCACAGGGATTAACGAAGAATATTTTGACGATTATTCTTGATAATTTACTTTTTTCATTTGCAACTTTTTCCCATGTGAGCATACATTGATGAACATTATTATTGTTTTCACTGCATCTAAAATAATAAATTTTTAATTAATTAAGCAACAAAGGCTTTAGATTTTTTCTGCTAAAAATCTCAGTGAACTTTTATTGGTAAATTTGCAATTACATGCGCTCTTGTTCGGATAATAATAACAGTTTCACGAGCAAACAATTTCAAGACTACCATATCTGACATACATATGTGAATTTGATGAAAACATTCGTCATTTTTAAGCTTGAAATATTACACGTTTGTCTGATTCAGACAGTAATTCTTGCACCTTCATTCGGGGAAATAATGCATGCATTGTCATGTTCAAATATGGGACAACCATCGCATTTCAGACGTTTTCCTGATTTAAGTTCTGCTAGAAACGGGTCTCCCACATCTACTCGTATACGCAGCAGGTGTAAATATGTTCATTTTTCCTAAGCGTCGACTATCCGAAATGAAAATTCTCCCATTTGGGATTTTGCCACGTAAAAAAATTCTTTCGCTAGTGATTTATTAATTTTTACAGCATGCTTTAAGAATTTTATGGTTTATTTGCATTTTTTCAACAGTCATTGCAATTAAATATTTGAAAAAAGAGAATGAAAGAAAGTCTAACTGGTTCACAGATACTGGGTATGATTCATCACGAATAAAAACAATCTCCGAAGAAAACAGTATGGAGTAAATTAAACTTGTACATACGAGCATATAATAATAGGGATTATAATTTTCCAGAGTGAAAGTTGCACCATCATAAGTGGTAGACTGCATTATTAAAATGTTTTCATGCTTCAAAAAGACAACAAGAGGAACTAATGAAAGTTGATAGAAATAATTTATTGAGCAATATTTGCGTGTTTGTGTATGTTTGGTGTGCAAAAACGCTTGTTGATCAGTCAATGTAGTTAAAAGTAATGGAAAGCAGTCCATATTTTGAATTCAATCAAATACGTTTTTTTGTAATGAATTCTTCTTGTCATATTTTGAATGATTTACTGTTATAGTCACTGTTTTAAAATATGGATTAGTCCCCTTTGATTGCCACAAAATTTCCATCCTTCCTTACGTTGATTAGTATTTATTTAATATGCAGTATTTAGAGGGCTATTTGTTTCTGATTTCTAGATTTGCGATATGTGGCATGTTTTACCCATAGCTAAATAACAGAAACAAGTAGATTACTTTCAGTCAAACCCGTGCGATCAAGATGATATAACCCAGAAAGTGGCTAAATTATCTCGATCTCAGAGCTTTAGAATCAAATATTACATTATAAACTTGGTTTGGTTGGTTTCCGCTTTTTTGCAAATTTTAGGTCTAACACAATACAATACACATAAGCACAATATGTAGCCTAAAACTCTGTACAGCTACCTGTGCATATCCCACAGAGACAATAAAGTTTGTGAGTAGGCTTAGTATTGTATGGCCTGAGGACTACACAGCTTAGACCTCAAACACACTATGACTTTCATACATTTCATTAGCCTAGTTTCGTTCAGATAAGGCAAGGAATGCGTTTTAAAACAATGCCCAGAAATAATATTTGTTCCATGTTTGATTGACGATTACTCTAATGTTTATTAGAAGCTTAAATTAGACGGGACGAGAACCATTATTAGTCAAGTATTAAACTCTGTATACATTTTCTGACAATGTTTTAAACTATTAAGCAAACAGTTAAAAACCTTGATGACATATAATTTTCCGATTTTCTCATAACTTTATGAAAATATTTTCTACATGTCTGCATTTGTACTTTTGTTTTGCGTATTACTCCCACTCTCCGCAAATAAAGATCGCTTTAATTAATAACTACAGAAAGTCTGTTTTGAATTTTGACCACCCACTTTGTACTAATTTCAATGTCATATACAAAGCACAAAACAATACAAGTTTAACTAATCTTTTTTTATTGTATTCTGCGTCTGAGCCTCGCGAATGCAAAAGTCAATCTTATCATCATATATAATCAGCATTAAATATGCTGATTTGGACGATATGTTTCATATGTACAAATTCTTTATCTATCACGACTCATAAAAACTTCAAGCCGAAGTCACTTGCAAAGATCTACAAGTATACAATCATCCTCATTAATCGATATTATTGATCAGTTTTCTGGAGAGTAATCGTAAGTATGTAAGTAGTAATGGTAAGTAAATCATCAGTACGTCAATCATCAATCACCAGTATCATGCCTAATACCTAAGTTACTTAACTTATTGTAGCACACATTAAACAAAATATATTTGGTTCTGTCCATATTTAACAATATTTTGTATACTGTAGCCAAGAAACTACCTCATTAATGCTTCTGATAGCTCCTGATAGCTTCTGATAGGTAATCTCCAGACCTCACCAAGAGCTGTTCGACTAAATAACTTTTCTATCATCCGCATAAGACAGTAGAATATTTTCAGTGTCCCCATGTAGAGTTTTCAATGTGGTGGAAAATGGAATGGTAGTCAAAATAAGGAGCATCAGACAAACTAATATTACAGAAAGAGACTAAAATTTTAATTAAGCATGACTTTGAAGTAACTGAAATATTAAAAATAAGACAAATTGGAAATACTCCATTGAAGGGAAAACGAGGATTTTTCATTTTCCATTTTTTGCGCTAATAAAAATTTTCGAAATTTTTTGTTTTGCTTTTAATATTGCAACTGTTGAGACTATTCACTTAACAGTGTCTGTAAAATGTTTGTTGTTGTAAAATGTTTCTGTAATTTTGGTTTGCCCCATACAATTTTAAAACATTTTGACCAATATTTAATTTTATACATTTTCCACGACACGTTTTGTTTCATTTCAATCAAATTTTCAATTTTGTTCTTGTCTTTGAAAGTTGTTGAATTTTTACGAGTAAGTTTTCTTTTTCCTTTTATACGCTTTGCTGTTTTTATCGGACCTGATGATAACGTAAATGTCGAAAATGATTGACTAGAACTTATATTCAACGGTTATTTGAATAGTTTGATGTTAATATTATTATTTGGACTGTCTACTCCCTGTTTCTTCTTTATTTAACTGGAGGAAGATAATATTGTGATCAACCGTGCCGAAAGCTTTAGCAAGGTCTAAAAACTTAGACATATCAGATTTACTTTAGTCCGGAGGGTAAAGCATTGTTTGTTGATAAACCCTTCCTGCATCCCAACCTAGGGATTGTATGATGTATTTATTATTTTATTTTTAGCTACAAAGTTGCATAATCTAGAACGAACAAATTCCTTAAACATGTTTGTTAATTTTCATAAAACGGAAGTACTTTGCATTAGTAGTTTGGGTTAGTTAGCTACTTATGTTCAAAAAGATGAACCAGTTCTGAATTTTAAAATGTTGAGGACAGTTTTCCACAGAAAAATTATTTGTTTTTGTGTAACGGTAACGAATAATTCCTCAATGCCGCCAGCAGTCCTTTTTTAAATTGTTTATAATATTTATTTGTACTATCTGTCAATGCTAAATAATACCATGTTTATTTCATTATTCATTTTATTAGTTTTTTTATTTACTTCTAATTAATTACATCAACAACATAATTTTTAGTTGGTGATTTTATTAGTATGCAATAGTTTTTTTTTATTAATACGGAGCCCTTTAAATTGTACGTACTGTTAAGTCTCCTCAGGAAAGCAAAAACATTTCTATTTTCAGCAATATTTTTCTGCAAGAACATTTCCATTTTGAAGTAAATTCTGTATATTTCAAATGGTCCAATCCACCATCAGTCTATTTTAGATGAATGGTTAAATGCACATATACCAAAAGAAACGGAATAAAGCTTTGCACATTTGCTTCGTACTTCCAATCGCTAAAATAACTTTTCCACACCAAGCCTTGACATTTCATGAAACTTGCTTGTAGTACTTCTGACCCCAGTTTGCTAATATTTTGTTTGCTTTTCTAGAATGCTTAGTATTTATTTCCGAAAAGCATTGTATATAATTACTAGTTATTGAAAATTTCTATATATTTTATTATTTATTAATAATAAGAGGTACTATTCTATCGAACCATATTTTAAATGAGTCCTTGAAAGTCGCTACCAAGTCTCATCTGCTGATCTAGAATTTTCTTTATTTCAGTGGAATTGCAGTTGTGACAAACAATTTCATTCGATTACTGAAAATGCCTGCCAGTTGGGATGATGCTTATAATGCATCAGAATTTTGTGAACCGCTATCGTTTTAGAGCACGTAATTAAATTCGGCAAAATTGCACACGACAACATTTTATTTTCTCAATAAAAAGCTAAAAACAATCGTCTTTCAACGCTATGTTTTGTAATCAGAGCCAGAAATTTGGGAATACTTTTGTGACAAAAAACGCAAACGCTATTTGCGGGAAAATAGCGTTAGTATACGTCGGTCTTATGTGAGAAATTCAATTATTCAAGTATACAACTGTAAATATGCCTTAATACAAAAACAAAATACAAACTCTGTAAATTCAAATTGATTTTGTTGTCTTGTTAATGGCAATTATCAAAGCGTTAGAAAACGTTTACAGTAGCCAGACGACTTTCATGTAAACGCTAACGTGAATAAACAATATTCTCGTTACTGGGGCTCAAGAGATTTCTGGCGAAATACAGGGGTGACATTCACGTTGCTTCAGAATAAAAATGTGGCACAAGAAAATGTTGCAGACGCTCTTTAACCCACAAAAACGTACTAAGAAATTTTATATTTCAACACGATTGAACAACCAGACATTCGGGAAAAATGAGTCTTGATATTTTAAGACTCTTCCTCCTAGGCAGGTTTATTTCTAGGAATTGCATTATTCTATAGGCAACATCTTATTACTTCGTTCGCGTCTATTTATAGCAGAAAGTGTTTGAAAATAAATCGAGAAGTCGGAGGCAAATGCCACAATTACTTTTTTATCAATTTTTATACCAAGACACGGTTTGAAGTAATAAAGTAATGAAAAGTCGTAATTTCCGAAGCATATAGGCTTATTTCTCGTCGTTGCTAAGGCTAATCAAAAGTTAGTAGAGCATGAAAGTAAACAAATGAAAAATTTCCAATTATAAAAACGTCCGGTTTTTGTCCTCAATTGATAAATAACCGGCACGAAGCCTGGCTTGAAGCTGAAACGTTGGAGAATTACATTACCATCCGAAAAGCCCGAAGCATAGAAACGTTCATGACACCTCTCTCTCCAATCTCATTAAATTTTTAAAGAGCCACAGCCTCCATCATTCAAGTGAAAATGGATTTTTGTATTCCTTCAACGGGGCTTATTTAAGATCCCAGGCATTACAAAGCAAATGAAAACGGGATGCGTCTGCAAACATAATCTATTGAGTGAGGACAGCGACAGTTTTAATGGAGTCCGCTCTGATAGATCACCCGTAGGCTCTGAAATTTAATGGAGTTCGGTAGAGTATTTCTATTCGACTGAATTTAATACCATTCAATCAAAATTCAGTAAAAATTCAAAATTGGGTGAAATTAGAGATATTTTTGTGAATACTGTCATTTAAATATATCATTTCCATTAATAATCCATCAAATGTAGAGCGAAGAAAGCGAAACATTCTAGAGTAATCTTATGAGGATTTTATGTAAGTGCACTTCTTCAAAAATACACTTCAGCAACAAGAGGCTGTTTGGAAAATGGTCCAATATTTTCTATTGGTAGTTGGTAGTAAAAAATATTTGCGTTAATTCCGACAAAAAACCCTTAAATTGAAAAATTGCCCGTTTAATTTGCTAAAGTACACTTGCAAGTACACTTGCTAAAGTACATTTGCAAGAAAATTTGATTAACGAATCAATTATATTTGTGTAAATAATCCCAAATATAATTGATTCGTTAATCAAATTTTCTTGCAAATTTCTAGAAGGGAACGCTTTGTATGAAATTATATT